CAGTTACAGCCAGCGCTCTCCTCCAGCTCAACCATGTTCGCATGCGGCACCTCCCCTGGCGTGCTGGCTGGAAACGACATGTTGCGATTGTTATTATCCTGGGTCACTTCATTCACGGGCAGATCCCTAACAGATGTTTTGGATGTGGCCAAACAAACTTCATTCGAGCCGCTGTCCTGGCGCATGGTCGACTTTGTCTTGTCCTGCTGTGTAGCGTTCAGGAGAGGGGTGGTTTCCAACAAAAGCCCAGTGGCCTGGTGTTCCGGCCTACTCTGAGTCTGTGCGGACAGCATGTGGTCGGTCACAGCTCCATGGTCCTGGAGAACTCGGGACGAAGACGGAAGTCGTAAGGTGAAGTGCACATCAGCGCAATTCATTAACTCTTTCGTGTCGTCCTTCCAAGCCGCCAGGCTCGTCACATTGCTCGCGCAGAACACCTGGTCTTCATTCACCACCGCGTTGTCGCCCTGGTGCTCCACTACAGCAATATCATCCTGTACACCTGTCAGTAAATTGCTGGGAGCTTCCGAGATGGCTTGCAGCCGTTCCATAAGCTCGCTCTTATTTCCGGTGGTAGAAAGGCCCCTCGATTTCAGCTCCTTTTTCAGGTCTTGCACCTTCATCGCTGCCATCGAGCGGAAAGGTGATCAGGAGAGCACAAAGGGAGCAACGTCAGTTGTGAGGAAAGATCAGGCTGGCTCACCCTTAGCTTACTAAGCCTTTGCTAAGCCTACTCTCGTACCGCATGCGATCCTTGTTTCTCTGAGCCCCTTCCGGTGTCGCAGGTTTGATAGTCCCCGCCACCAGATGTCCGCTCACAAGAGTTTGTCTATCTCAACCGCTTACTGCGTTTAAAATGCCCGCAAATCAGTCTTTCGCGACCACAGTGCAACCGAGATAGGCACGTTCACTTTCTTCTGCAGCCGTGCAACCACTGCAACCACTGCAACCACTGCAGCCGTGGTTGCGCCCCTGGCGGCAAGCAAGTGAACTACATACGGAGAAAAAATGCCGTTGACTCCCGGCGATTGCAAAGGCCGTAAGAAGAGAAAGAGAGCGCGCGCTTCCAGTCCGGCCGTGTCATACCATAAACTTTGGAACCATGATTTCTAAACAGGTGGAATTTTTCTCAGTCAAGCACGCGCGTGTTCAGCCCGATCGTGGCTCGCACGGCAATAGAAGAAGACGTGGAAGACGAGGGTAAGTTGGGTTCTTGCGCAGTCCTTCTGATCACTGCTCAATATCCTTTCTGGAATACGAAATAGTTACAGCACCGAGAGCACCAGTGAAGAAACGGGCTTTTCTCCAGGCTTTTCATGTGAAGGTAAACAAAGGATGTACTGACAACGCCTCCATTATGGTTGCACGATGTCCGTCGGCTCGTGTATCTACGATGAACAGGGGGAGGGCCAATAGTGCGTGTGGTGTCCGTGTTGTGAAACCAACTTAGCGTTTAGCATAAAGCCCCTTAATTGAATTTACGCTTCGTGTTTCTTCTGTGCGCGGAATGCACATGTCACCAGCGGGTGGGGAGCCGCCATTTGCTTCCAAGGGTCGTTCCGTGGGTTGTTCATTTTACTGTTTCGCCACCATTTGCTTCGAAGTGCCGCACAGGTGACAGACCTTGTGTATTGGCTTATTTGACGCTACTCGTAAAACAAACCCAAACACTTCGAAGGTCTTTTGTTCAGCAAGTAGCGTTCGGCAAACCTGTTGTGCGGTGAAGTCAACTATCTGCTTTGTAGAAGACTCCTTGGTGTGGCCCTGTAGCATCACCGTCAACGTGAAGCTCGGGACCAGTTCGCAATTTACAGCGGCACCGTATTCTAACCTGCGCAGATAAAGGTTATAAAAAAGAACAATCCGGCAGCAGAAAAGATTGCGATTCACGGTGTAACTCATACATGTAGAATGCTATGGTACGGATGAAGCATCCTGGTCTGTGGCTTTCCCAACTTATCCTCAATCACAGCAGCCTTTTTTTTTTTTTGTCTTTTTTTAGACACATGTTCTGCTTTGTTTTCCCACTCTCCACAGTTAAAACTGCCCCCCCCCCCCCTGGCCTACGCCATTAGTGGCGTAGGCCAGGGGGGGGGGGGGGGCGGGGGGGGGCAGTTTAGCAGAACGAACCCTGGAGAGAAAATCGCATGCTCTCCAGCGTTCGCTCTGCTAAAGTGGAAAGAGCTGGGAGGAGCTCCCCCTGAACTCTTAACCTGTCGGCGACTGTAATTATCGACACAAAAACGTGCAGTGACGGCGCCTCGTCGGTTATCCTTGGAGATTTTCAGCTGCACGTGATTGTAGTAATTAGTACTGGTACGGCGTCTGGAGCCTCCGATTGGTGTGTTCACGGCGCGTTCCAATAAAACGGTCTCTCGATTACCGCCTGAAGGCGCGTCATGGAAGTGTTATGCTGTCGCCGCGGCCGCAACCCTGGCGGCGTCAAAGCAGCGATGCTGAATGTGACAGACAGCCGCGCTGCTGCAGGTTTGTCTCCAGCTTGACGGTCCACCGAAGCTTAGGAGTTGGGACGCTGCGACGACAGTGACTGTACTCGTGTTTTCTGGCGCTTTTTTCCGGAACTTTTACGGCCAACCAGGATAGCGACATCGGACACCATGACACTGCAGCTTTTGTGGCGTTGTACGTTGCTTCTTCGAGACCACTTTCGACGAATTGGCGGAATAGGAAGCTAATTAAACACACCAGTCAGAGACGCGTTCCAGGAACGATGGTGCTAAACACTATCTAGAGCTTTGAGTGCGAGTAGGAGAAGCTGTAAGAGCGAGCTCCGTGCTTTCGGCGTCCCTGCCAAGCACGCATGCTCGTGCAATGCAATCTTCATTCAGGGGAAACGTGCTCGTGGTTGCAGTTTCAGCTACGCTCGGAAACAAAGTGAGAGGAACTAGAGACAACTTACATTGACGTCACATCAGCGGCCATTGTATCCTTGGTGAGATGGGTATGTTGCTTTGAAGTAGAAGACTCCAAACCACGGCCTGTGGACCAGATTCGGCCTGCGGAAGTCTTTGGAGAATGAGGAAAAACTGCATCATAACACGGGTCCTCTCGCCATACTCTTCATTGAAGTTTTGTCATCACCAGCCGCCATTCTTAGTCCCTTAGTGTTATGTTTGTTTAACTATATGTTAATATTTTTCTTTTGCGTTCTGATAAACATTGTGCTTACTGCTTAGTGTACTCCGTTACAACTATTGCCTATTGTTAGCATGAGTTTTATCATTTTCTTTTTCGCTGTGCGAATGTGGCAAAGTTCTCATGCCCTTTGATTTAGGCCTGGTGAGTTTTGCTGGTCGCAACTAGTGCCACTAAATAAGCTACGCTTCAGAGTAACGACACTTGGCCATATTGTGGCTTAAAATCATGGTTGCCAGTTATCTGAAGCTTTATCTGAAATCACAGGAAATGCTTTTCCGCCCTCCACAAATGTTTAAACCGTTCGCGACAGAGCAAAGCAATATTACATTACCTTCCTAACACCGAATCTAATGCTGAGGAAGTCGCACTTTTGACTCATGACGATCGGACGTTGCGTCTGTTATGCATGCGAGCCAAAATGGCGGCGCCCACAACAATGTCGGGGAACGGAGTGCCGATACTCTAAGCGCAGCTTATTTAGTGGCTCTAGTCGCAACTGTTGGGAAATGTCATAATTAGACAGATATTAAATTTCAAATAGAAGCATATGCATTCATCCACCTTAATTAGTACTGAATGGCCATTCATACAGGAGCGTTTTCTTACTTTATAAGTCATCGTAACATCCGTGCCCTTGTCACATGCAAGTTAACTCTTTGAGCTGATTGCCACGTTTCCTTCAAAAGCACAGATGCTCCAATGACTCTCGACATAAGCAGACCTAAGCTCCCGTGACATAAGGTAACGTGAGCAGATGGTGCTGTGTGAACCGGGCTTTGCTCTGACATTAATATTGTTTGTTTAAATGCTTATTTATGTTCATTTATTTAGTTTTTCTGTCGTTTTTAATTACTCCTCTTCTTTCCGGCTCTCGAAACTGTGACAGATCCCTACTCCGGCCCCTTCGCCAAAAAGTTTGGATACCACTGTTATAAAGCGTGAGATGCTTTTTAACGTATGCGCCCAATCTCAAACTTTCGCCGTTCCGTTCGTTCGTGGGTTTCCCGCTAAATTTAGCGGGGAAACTGAATTGGTGTTTAGTTCACACGACGTCGGTTGATGTCACGCTATCTCACGTGACACAAATTCAGTTTTTTCCGCTAAATTTAGCGGGAAGATTGAGGTGGTCACGTGACCGGACGTCACGTCGCCTAGACTCCTATTTTGGTTCCCCACTAAATTTTGCGGGAAAATTGATGCCTAAACACCAACCCAGTTTTCTCGCTAAATGAGCGGGGAAATCGACGTCACGTAACCTGAAGTGCCGTGACCTGAACACCAGCTCAATTTCCCCGCTAAACATAGCGGAAAAAGTGATGTCGCGTGACCTGACGTCACGTATAGACCAACTCAGTTTTCCCGCTAAATTTAGCGAGAAAATTGATGTCACGTGACCTATACACCAATGCACTTTCTCCGCTAAATTAAGCCGGAAGTTTGCACTCACGTGAATCCGATAAAAATAAATGTTATTCACTCTCCTAAACGACGGTTTAATGTGTTCTAAGTAGTTTCTTAACGATCGCTCCTCAAATACTGCATTTCATGCATTATAAGACATGAAAACTGAATCTCGCTGCCAATTATTATTTTTTGTTACGCAGACACATTTATTTATCGCTTTTTAATTATCATTTTTTTAGCCTCCATTGTGCATAAGCGACGAACGCAACTACGAAACTTGGGTGCCATGTGAGTGACGTATGGCTTGACGTAGAGGTAGTGGAGGGGACACTTCGTCCAACATCCGCGTCGGCGTGTTCTGCCCCAAAAGGAAAACTATAGCCAATGAAAGGATGAGAACGGCAGGAAGGCCTTTCTGTTGTCCCGCACCAGCGCGGGCTGCCCACCTTCGATGATGCTTTGGCGTCTCGTGAGCCTCGAGAATGCACGCGCACTCAAAGCACGGCGGAAGGCAAAGAGCGCGTGCATGGAGGTCGGCTGTCCCAAAGAGACGCCCTGCCATTCTTGTCCTGTCAATGACCATAGCGACTTTTAATGCGGTACAACTAGCAACTGATTTCAGTTAACCCGAATTACCTATGGTCGTTATGTTTTCAGCGGAAGAGAGCTGCATCGTCTCCAGACGCCAACCGTTCTTCGGTATGAGAATGCTGAAGAAACGCAAGAGCACACTCATCGCTGTGGCGTTGCTCCTATGTTCCCTGAACGTGCTACTGTACAACGCGAACAAGTGGACACTCGAGCCAATCTCCAGAAGGTAATAATGCATGGACATTCTCATCAACGGAAGCCCGCCATTTCAATCACCACAGAAGTTATACTGTACGAAATGTGCATTAAAAAAAAAGTCGCGGGACGTGACAATATGAGCATGAAAGTGAACAATCTCCAAAGTGCAACAATATTTCGTACTTTTATCAAACACTGCATAAACATTGATCCTTGACGTTCACAAACCAAGAAATGTAGGCCAGCTTATCTCTCTACGCAATGGTAGTTTATAAAGAATAAAAAAAAAAAACGACTGAGCATCATTCACCTCCTCAGCTCGCGGATAGAATTAGCAGCCACGCGATCAGTTGCCGATTATCTGCCGCAAACGGTCACCGTATCCACGCTTTTGGGTTGGTAAAACCTATGACAGGTGTTGAGCTCCAGGCATTGTTAGGATTCGGCTGTTCCCGTCACTGCAGCAATTTGACACGACACTACCTGGAGGCGCTCGTCGAGGCATTGGTTGTCAAGAACTCAAGTTCACGCAGTGCTCGTGTCCAGATTATGAGCTACATTTGAATATCGCCTGTTTATATTAAGTCTAATTTGTAATTTTTGAGGGTAAAAGCTCTAAAAACTACGGACAAGTGAAAGAAACGAACAACACAGAACGCGTTGGGCATGTGCTTAGCGCTCTGTGTTGTTCGTTTCTTTTACTTGTCCGCTATTTTTAGCGATTTTACCCTAAAAAATATGGATCATCAACTAGCCCAGTGCATACCCTTCTATTGTAATTTTTGTGTTGTCTAAATTTTTTACTCTGGTTCTTCTCTTCTGTAACGCCCCCGGGCCTTGGCGGAAAAATAAATGAAATGACATAGGGCAATCCGCGTGATTACAACAGTAATGCAACCTCAGTTACTACACCATCGTATTTCGCGACGCTGAAACTGAAGGCAAAAGTTGTCTCTTATCCTGGAACTACGCCCCGACAAAGACGCCTCTTTAATAATTGTGTTGCGTGTGAGCATACCTCGGTCACATTGGTGTCAGTAAGCCTGTGTAAAGCGGAAAACATTCTAACATATTATAATTGCATGGGCCCTTTCAACCTCCTAAATCTAAAAGAAAAAATGAAAGCCGTTTACAACTCCCTGTAACGCAGAATTAGAGCGCAGCTCTTGAGGAGGAGGGAAGGGCACTAGGGGGGTGGGTCAAGTGACCTCGGGTGGCGGGTGGCGGAGGGACGTCAAGTGACCTCGGGTGGGGGGCATTGTCACGTGACCTTGGGGGGTCACGTGACAATGCTGATGACGCCATCAGTGACGTCACTGATGACGTCACTGGTGACGTCATCAGTGATGATGACGATGACGATGCGGATGCCGGTGACGTCACTAATGACGTCATCAGTGATGATGACGATGACGATGCGGATGCCAGTGACGTCATCCGTGACGTCACTGATGACGTCATCAGTGGCGATGACGTCAAGGGGGGTCACGTGACCTCGGGGGTCACGTGACCTTGGGAGGGGAGTCACGTGACCTGGGTAACCATCGTGACTCTCGTGAGGGTAACCCTAGTAACCCTCGTGAGGGTAACTCTCGTGACCCTCGTGAGGGTAACTCTCATAAGCCTCGTGAGGGTAACTCTCATTACTCTCGTGACCCTCGTGAGGGTAACCCTTTTTAGGGTAACTAATCCTCGTAACCCTCGTGAGGGTTACGAGGGCTACGAGGGTAACCCTCGTGAGAGTAACCCTTGTAACCCTCGTAACCCTCACGAGGGTTACGAGGGTTACTCGCGGTTACGCCGACGCCGACGGCGACGGCGACGGCGACGCCGCTCAAGCCGGGAACGGGCGCCTAAGAGCTGCGTTCTAAAATGAGATGGCGGAGGTAGGGGAGGGACATTAATGTCTTTAACACCACGGTATTCAACGCCCTACAGGAAACCCAACTTGGATAGTTCCTCAAGTTCTTCAAGCGTAAGGACGAGTTCACCGTCTGGTTGCTCGTCCAAGAGCAACGTAGTGTTCATCAACACGCACGAATGTCTCAACTCGTCGGTTACAATAATGTTCCAGCGGTTTGGCCTGACGCACGGCCTCAACTTCGTCCTTCCCACTGGAGAACCAAGCCTCCACATTGGGAATCCAATGCCCTTCCGCTGGACCATGGTGCAGCCTCTGGCACGTCCCGACCTAGTGTACAACATGCTAGTCCACCACGTCATCTACGATCGAAAAGAGATCGCCAAGCACATGCCCAACGATACCATCTACGTCACAATCCTCAGAAAACCATCGGTTCTCTTCGAAAGCATGTATCGACGGTGCCGGCTTCAAGAGGTGTTCAAGATGCCTCTCGAGCAGTTCCTTCAAGACACACAGTCGACGTCTTCGTTGATCAACAGACGTGTACTTGCAGGTCGAGTTGGCTTCAACCAGATGAGTTTTAATCTAGGGTTAAATCCTGGTTTCAGCTCCAAGATGTCGAATGTTCAAGAAACCCTCAAGGGCCTTGAAACGGACTTTCACCTTGTGATGACCGCGGAGAAACTGGACTCATCTCTGCTGCTCCTGAAGCGCCTTCTTTGTTGGGATGTGGCGGACATCGCGGCGTTTCATGTCGACGAGCCGACTGTCTCGCCGACTCTGCCATTGTCCCCAGAAGCGGCGTCGAATTTGACTTCCCTCAACGGTTTCGACGAGTCGCTTTACAGTCATTTTTCCCGTGTTCTCGACGCCCGCCTCGAAGAGGTGGGAAGCGCTCAGTTGAAGAGTGACTGGGAACATCTCGAACAAGCAAGACACGTCATCATGGAGGCATGTAGCAGCTATAAGGTGCCTAAAGTACAAGGTCGGCTGATGGACGGCAATACTTGCGAATACCTGCGCCTGTCAGAGTCGGAAATGGCGGTACTGATGCATCAGCACCAAGCATTGAGAATGAGACGTTTCCAGCTATAGCAACAATTTCATTATAATTTAGGAAGAGGAAAACGTTATAGCAATTACAGTTATGTTAAAATGAGGTTTTGAGCGTGTATTTGAATAAATGAATTTCAAGCAATTTGCTGATCTAAATCAGGCTACAAACAAAAAGGATGGGACTCCATGCATGATTTCGCCGTCTTTATTGTGTAACGGACTTTCATCGTTTTATGGCAAGCGTAACACCGCAGTCCCACTGATTATACAGCATACAAAAGACACTTTGTTCGCTACACACATGATAACTAAACTACCTGTGGACACACTTTAATCATGGCCGAAGCATGCTTGCTTCAAACATATGTACCCTCTGAAACATGTCCACACTCTAAAAAAAAAGGGTATCACCATACACCCTTTTGTCCCATATAATACACCCCAAAACTTCATTTCGACGTACAGCGCCCTATAGTCGAACAGACGGCACGAAATTTTACCAGGGGCTTGATAACGGTGCGATATAACTTAATAAATTGCTAAAGTACGTATCAAAGCCCAAAGAAAGAAAACACAAAGCTTTTGCAGTACGGCCAAGAAAACTCCGATAATCTTTTTTGTAGTCAATAATACGTACATCAGCTATCTTAATAAGTTGTACCACACGGCTATCAAGCCCCTCGTAAACTTTGAGGACGCCTGTTCGATTATGGGGCGCTGTACGTCGAATTGAAGTTTTGGGGTGTATTATATGGGACATGGGGTGTAATAATACACCTTTTTTTCTGAGAGTGAGCAACAGGTTTTGTATGACCAATTCAACTTTGCGTCCATACAAGGAAGCAACACGCCTCAAGACAGTGTCTGCTGACTGTCTTCTGAATGATGTACGTTCAACGTGATCGCGGCTTTAGGCAGTTGGGCAACGGTTGCCCAGGTGACGTCTGGGTATACGCAAGCAAGGCTGTGCACTTATGCGGAGAGCCAGTTCGTCTGCTTCTTGCAGAGGGGTTGCGACGATCTCAGGACGTCAAGCTCTTATTGGCTGATTGAAAAAAAAAAATAGTGGGTACACCTCAAGGCATCTAGCATTGAGGTATACCCACTATCCTTCCAATCAAAGCCAATCAAAGCTCTGCGCCGTTTTGACATCGCCGCAACACTTGCGCAAGAAGCAGACGACTTGCTCGCCGCATAACCTTCCACCTGAAGAACCGTAGTAAAAAAAAAAAAGTCCGGCATCTCGCGGAGCAATACTGATTTACTCCTTTATACGGTGAATTAGGATATACGAGGGGGAATTTTATATTAGCTTGTATCTTATTCTATCATAGACGTACACGTTTGACACGCCGGAAGCACACTTTCTTTATTCGCCAACCTAATATTGTAAGTACTGTCCTTCGTGCAGCACGTGCATAATGAGCAAGTCGTTTTTTCTTTTTTCTAGAAGACAAAGTTTGAGCATTACGTCATCGTTAGTAAATCCTGGAACCGCTTTCAAGCGGTAAACGCGACGAAGCTCGACAAGAATATAGGCCTGTTGCACTCTGCTAGGGGTCGAAAGCGCATCCCCAATACCAGCACAAATAGCGACCATGTAATGTTAGCATCGGCGTCTGCAAGACGTGGCAATAAAGGCAGCGTTGCAGCTTTCGATTATGCACGATCCACGTTCTCACGCTAGTGTTTGTCAACGTCTGTTGATAACACACTCACAAAAAAAAAAATATCAGCAATACATTGACAGCTTCTTGCATTAGCGTCCTATCGAAATGCCACGAATACAGTCCTTTCAGCTGGTTTGTTCATGTTTTCTTTCATGTAGCGACTTTCGGCAACGTGAGGGAGCGTAAGAACGCGCAATCGAAACGCGACCTAAAAATATTCGATTTTGCTCGCGAGGTGCGCTGCTCAAAACTTGAGGACTACGGGCCTATACGCCGGAAAACGGCAGACGCGTGGATCCACTAGTGATTACGTTTAGCAAGGGGGGGGGGGGGGATTTAGTAGCTATAAACCATATCTCGTATTGCTATGTGTGTTTGGATACGATTGCCGCGCAGGAAGTAATACCCCGCATTTTCTTATCATTCAAAAATAAAAGTAGTAACATCACAGTGTACAGGTCGTAATACCAGTAGAGAGAGACACAAAGAGAAACAAAAAAAAAATAGATGGTGGCTTGCCTGCCACTTGCAGATTTCGTCTTATGGTTTTGAACACAAGAGAAATACAGAGAAAACGAGAAGAAAAAGAAATCATGTTACATGCAAACTGATATCAACATAAATACGCTGCCCGATTCAAGGGTACTAACTAAAACCTCCTCACCCTTTCCTCTCCCCCTCAAAAAAAAAAAAGAAGTTAAAAAAATGCCAAACTTGGCGGTGTTTAAAATTGCCGAGGGGTAGGGGCAGGATACTTTTCCTAATAGGGGCACGTCTATCCTTTCTCCCCCCTCCCTAATCTCCACCACCACTTTCTGTTGCACCTTCATCTCCCAAACACCTCGGCCTGGCTGCCCTTAGCATTTATAGGACAAAAAAAAAAAAAAAAAAAAAGAAAACCTCGCAATATAGCCAATTTTTGAAATTACCCTTTTGCGAATACAGGTGTATGCACTTATTTGAATGACAATTGCTGGATCGCGCTTCCCGCTCCCGCAAGTGAAGCCACCGGACGCAACCTTGCTGGGATACGATTTGCGGTTTTGCCAGCGTTTTGCTGCGGTTTTCCAGCGTGCTGTAAACACGTCTTCTTCTCGTTCGTCGTCATATTCGCCGAAAAAGTTTTTTAAGACTCTGCGTATCGTTGAGACTTGCCGTCGTGAACACGTGGAAAATTTTACGATTTTCCACGTTTTTTAGAAAACGAAACAGTTTGGGTGGGGCATGCGTGGCTGGATGTGCTTTTTATGTTTTTCTTGTTTCTGTTTTCTATATTAAACATTTAGTTGCGAGTCAGCGCCCTTCCTGTGTTGTGTGTTCCTGCCCTTAGTCTTCGTTGTTACGCTCTGCTACATCTGCACCATGTTAAACTTCCACTAACTAGCCGAGCTCTCTACTTTGTTACAGAAATACAGCTGTACGGGTGATGTTTTTCAGCGTCCCGCGTATTCGCCTCGAGATCGAACCGTGCCGCCACCGTGCGGCCGAAATTGGAAACGCGCGAAAGCGGGGACACCGCTTTCGCGCTACGGGCGCACGCTACGGGCGCACGCTCAGAAGCATGGATCTCGACGACGCAAGCCCGTTTCAGGCTGAGCTTGACATTCCTTATGAAATGTTTTATGTTTTTCTTGCCGTTTCTTCTTACTAAAGGTTTTGTTGTAGCGTTTTCCATGCCAGCAAAGCGATTAATATTAAGTCGGAGGCTTCCATAATCTTTGTGTGTTGTTTTTTATACAATCGCAGGTCCCACGTATTCGCACAAACCGCGGCTTTCATAAAGCATTGAATGTTTAGTGGGTCTGTGGTTTTATTAGAAAATTAACCCGACTGATGGCTATCCTTCAATAGACTATTCAATCAATAAATCCGTATGTTGATTTTTCCCCGGTCATATTGCGTGAAAGACGTTAAAACTACACATTTTTTTACTGGTTTTACTATGCCATAAATGGCATATTGCATTCCCATTATAAACTTCACGTTGTGAGTTCTTCATAAATATGAACACCTTTTAAAAGTGTTTTAAAAGCCTTTTACAATGAAGTATTTTTTAAGTTATCATTTAAACAGTATAATCACCCTTATCGAAATGATAAATGGTAAACCACGCTGAAGTGGTTAACCGTGCAAGCCGGTGTCACAAAAGAAGTAAAGACGTCAAAAATATTAAAGCAGGCATATTTTACTTCTTGCTGACTTTCTCCAGCACAAGACTCCAATTAACCGGCAAAACATTTTTTCAATTAAAGCATTACTTAAATAATCTGAAAGTTAATCGATGAACGCCCAGTCCCGATATAGACCAACTCATGTTTACAAACAAACCGGAGCGCCCCTAGCGGACGTCACCGGCGCCGCGCATGCGCGATGGGGGTGTGGGCAAGAAGTTCGCCGTCGCCCATAAACAAACCATTGAAATGCGATGTTGTCGGCGTCGGTGTGAGTCTCGCTGCCCTTTTTCGCGTTCGAATTGTTGATTCTACGTCTTCCTGGCAATGTCTGACTACTTGAGCGGCCTCAGCGAAATTAACGAGGCTCGTTACACCGCAAAACTTTGCGTAAATAATGTGACATGTGGCGATTCATTCCGCGTGGGCGCCGCAGAATGCACGCTAAAGCCTGATTCGCATGATGAGATTTCGCTCGCAATTTTCAGTCGCAGCGTCGCTCGGGCTGCAAAAGCGTGAACCGTAGCTGAGATGGTCGACGTCGATATTGAAAAGCTATAGCAGAATCGGACCATGCGAATCAGGCCTAGCAAGTCGGTGATGGTCACTGGTAACAATGATCAACATCTTGTATCTGCTGTTTACATCGAGCCTGCTTACCAACCTTCAAATTTAAGCCTTTTGAGGCGTGCACTTACTTCTTATCGCAAGTACCGGGCCAAGATTTGATCTGCGGGCCGGCGTCGTCTCGTTTGAAAGAGCAGACGACAATTCGAACGACCATGTGGCCGTTTGAACTTGAAGACGCACTGAACGTAGTCCGCAGGTGGTCCGCAACCCTTGACGGCTTTGTGGCGTTCATGTTGGAACAAAACAAATAAATCTGATGACCACAAGTATCCGTGAATTCAACCCAAAGTGCTTCCCGCCCAAGCAATCGTTGTCCGACGGCGTCTGCTTTTCTCTTTTCACGGCACATATCCATATTCTCGGACGAACCGAGCGCGTGAAAACTGACCTTCAAACCTTTTTCGACACTTTTGGTACGGCCCCAGTCGCAGCGTTTTGACGAGAAGGCAAGTTTTTGTCTCGTTCCCTTCAAAACAACGCAGGAATACATTTCTGGCATGGGGACTTCTGCCCACAGCTCCAGACCGGAAGTGCGACCGACGCGCCACCACCGCGCCGTGACGTAACAGAGATGAGTTCGTGCATACGTTAGGTGAGGGTGTAGGGTGATCGGAAAGTCTCGTGAAGGTCGCTAGCCCTCATCAGTAAATGAGTATCACTGCGGCCGATGCTGCCTGTGTCGTG